GGGATGACACGGGAAATATTCCAGTCGAGACACTCGCACGCTTTGAAAAGGACGTCAAACGGACCACGTCGGGATTCATGGCGATAGTCAACGAAGCAGACAACGGAGAGAAGCAGACCCAGGAACTTCCTCCAGCAGTCAAGAAAATTCTTGAAGAGTTCCAGGACGTTCTCCCCGACGATTTACCTGATCAACTACCGCCATACCGGACACATCAACACGAGATCGTAGAAGAGCCGGGGTCCAAGCCAACGTTCCGAGCACCATACCGGCTGAGCCCGACAGAGCTTGCCGATATGAAAAAACAAATAGAGTATCTCCTAGAGAAAGGGCTGATTCGACCTTCGACTTCGCCGTATGGAGCTCCAGTTCTCTTCACTCCGAAGCCAGACGGAAGTCTGCGAATGTGCATCGACTACCGAGCCTTGAACAAGCAGACTGTAAAAAATAAATACCCGATACCACGGATCGACGACTTACTCGATCAACTTCGCGGTGCTACGGTATTCTCCAAGCTCGACCTCAGATCGGGATACTGGCAAATTCGTATGGCGGACAACTCTATCCACAAAACCGCCTTTCGAACTCGGTATGGGTCATACGAGTATCTCGTAATGCCATTCGGACTCACTAACGCACCAGCCACATTTCAGGTGGAAATGAACCACATCCTTCGGCCCCTTCTGGACGAGTGCGTGGTGGTATATTTGGACGATATCCTGATCTACTCGAAAGACATGAAGAAGCACGTTGAGCATCTGCGACGGGTGTTTGAAATTCTTCGACGAGAACGCTTCTACGTGAAACTATCCAAGAGCGAGTTTGCGTTGAGAAAAGTCCAGTTCCTTGGACATATGGTGAGCGCTCAAGGAGTTCACGTGGATCTTAAGAAGATCGAAGCAGTGCGAACGTGGAAGACCCCTGAGAACGTGAAGGAGTTACAGCAGTTCCTTGGATTCGCCAACTACTACAACCGGTTTGTACCGAACTACGCCAAGATTGCCGCACCATTAACGAACCTGTTGAAGAAGAATACACCATATCAATGGGAGGCGAAGCACCAGGAAGCCGTGGAACAACTTAAAACCGCACTCACGTCCGCACCTGTCCTTATCCTGCCAGACCCTGAACTTGACTATGTCATCGAGGCCGATGCTAGCGATCAAGCAGTGGGCGCAGTACTCATGCAGGATCAAGGGAAGGGACTGCAACCCATTGCATACCGCAGTAAAAAACTTCACGGGGCAGAACTCAATTACCCCATCCATGACAAAGAGGCCCTTGCCATCGTCAACGTATTTAAGGCATGGAGGTGTTATCTCGAAGGAAGAAAAACGACCGTCTACACCGACCACTTCAGCCTCAAGTACCTGAAGACCCAACCAACACTCTCCAGGCGGCAGGTCTGGTGGATTGACTTTCTCGAAACCCACTTCCATTACGACATCGTGTATAAGCCGGGGCACAAGAACAAGGCAGACGCACTGAGTCGCCCTGCACACGTTGCCGCCCTACAAGTCGATGGCATGAACCCACTTTTGAAGGGACTCTTCACGCATGGATACACCATCGACCCTGAAGTCTCTGTAGCAGAAAAGCGCCATCTTCTACAATGGGATCAAGACATCGCATACCGCAAGGGATCCACAAAAATATGGGTACCTAATTACCCTCCCTTACGCCAGTTACTGCTCGAAGAATATCATGATGTTCTCTACGCGGGCCACTTCGGTAGTAACAAGACGCTTGCCGGTATTGCGAAGCATTATTATTGGCCCCACATGGCAGATGACGTACAAACATTCGTCACCTCGTGCGACACATGCCAACGGATGAAGAGCAGCAAACAGAAGAAAGCAGGGTTATTACAGCCTCTTCCAGTCCCTGAACAGCCTTGGCAAGTGGTTAGCCTCGACTTCATCACCGGGTTACCTCCTACCAAAGCTGGTTACGACGCCATTCTAGTCGTCATCGACAAATTCTCCAAAATGGGACACTTCATTCCGACACACACAACGGCTCGCATCGAGGAGACAGCGCAATTATTCTTCCGCTACGTCATCTCGCAACATGGCATTCCAACCACGCTGATCTCCAACAGAGACCCGAAATTCACGAGTAAATTCTGGAAGGAGCTCATGTCGCTCATGGGGACCAAACTCGCCATGTCATCAGCCTATCATCCCCAAACGGATGGTCAGACAGAGCGCCTCAACCAGATTGTCGAACAGCTTCTGCGAGCAGCGTGTAAGGACGATATCTCTAAATGGGATGCACATCTGCCGGTTCTCGAGTTTGCGTATAACAACGCCACGCACGCCGCAACAGGGCAAACTCCTTTCTTCCTCTGTTACGGTCGCAACCCACTTACGCCTCAGAAACCAACAGTACCCGCCACAATGCAACCCGCACATGACTTCATTTCCACTATGCACCAATTGTGGGAGCGCACGCATAAACGTCTTCTGACTATCCAGCAGCAGCAAAAGAAGCTCGCTGATCGGAGTCGCAACGATCATTCCATCAAGATTGGCGATCCAGTGCTTCTGGATACACGCAATCTCGACATTAGCCATCTTCCCTCTAAGCTCCGACCTCGCTTCTGCGGACCTTTTCGCGTCGAGGCGCAGGTCACTCCAGTAACCTTCCGCTTGCGTTTACCAGCTACCTGGAGAATTCACAATGCCTTCCATGTTCAACTTCTCAAGCCCTATCGGGACCCAAACACGGTCTTCAAAGGTCGCCAGCCGCCGCCGCCACTGCCAGTGATCGTTAATGGGGAACCCGAGTACGAAGTCGAAGCCGTTCTGGCGCACCGACGACGACGTAGCGGCACCTTGGAGCTCTTGATTCGTTGGAAAGGCTATGATCCTTCCGAGGATACCTGGGTACCTGAACACGACATGGATAACGCCCGCCGGCCTCTCCAGGACTACCTTGTCAAGCAGGGTGTTACTTCTACCACCCAGCTTTGAGGGGGGGAAGTGTGAGAGGACGTCCCCGTTATAATATTTTCTCACTATTATATTTTTCCGTTATCCTAGTCTCCCTTTTCTCCTCTTTATTTTGGTCTTTATCTCATCTCAATCGGCCTACTATTCTATTTTCTAGAGCCTTCTATTTATTTCTCTTATTTCCTACTTTTCCCACCGACATACCTATTATACGGCACCGACAGCGCTGACAGTAGTGTATACGGTGTAATCTGGCCGTAATCCCAAGTGCCAATAGCCTTGCGTGCTTGTGCGCACTTGTGATTATAGTATCGGGAAGGGCGTGTTCCCGAAGGTTCGTTTTATCTCGATTATCCTTGTATTTTCCGAGTATAAAAATGCCTTGTATTCAGTTTGAGGGACAAGTTTTCGATTGAGAATTCGATCCTGTGACACCCTCGCCTGCGCCTCCCTGCATTCCTTGCGTCGAGGGGCGGCAGCGCGCCGCTCCTCACTCCTCCTCGTTCCCTCCCACAGAGGCTCCACTGCAGACTCTCCACCTAGACGTGTGGGGCCCAGCCCGCGTCCGTGGACAGGGCCACGAGCGGTACTTCCTGCTGGTAATCGACAACTACACGCGTTACACCACGGTCTTCCCCTTGTAGCGCAAGGGGGATGTCCCTGATGTTCTGATCCCCTGGATCCGCGCTGCTCGTCTCCAGCTCGGCGAGCGGTTCCAGTCAAACTTTCCTGTCCTACGTCTGCACTGTGACAGAGGTGGTGAGTTCTCCTCAGACCTCTTGGCGGCCCTCTTGTGCGGAGCACGGCATTCGCCAGACTTTCACGCTTCCGGCCTCTCCGCAGCAGAATGGGACTGGTGAGCGCCGCATTGGCTTAGTCATGGAGGTCGCTCGTAACTCCATGATCCATGCGGCTGCCCCCCATTTTCTGTTGCCGTTTGCGGTCCGGTACGCCGCGCATCAGCTCAACCCCTGGCCCCGTATCTCCTTGTCGGAGACCTCGCCCACATTGCTGTAGACGGGGAAGGTTGGCAACGCGTCGCATTTCCGGGTCTAGGGTGCTCGTGCGTTTGTCCGCGATACCACTGCGGACAAACTCTCCCCTCGCGCCATTCCTTGCGTCTTCCTTGGCTTTGTCTCTAACGCGCCTGGCTGGCAGTTTTACGACCCCGCCTCGCGCCATGTCTTTGCATCTTAGGACGTCACCTTTGACGAGTCGGTCCCCTTTTACCGCCTCTTCCTACCGCACTGCTCCTCGCCCCCTCATGCCGCTCTTTCTCGCCCCAGGTCCTCCCCAGGTAGACCCCCTCCCCGCGCCAGGTCCTGCTCCTTCAGGTGTTTCTCAGGAAGACCCTCATGTCCCTGTGCCTGTTGAGGTCACTGGTGACTCCGGTCCTGCTGGGAGTGGTGCTGTCCCTGGGGGTGCGGAGCTTGGAGGTGCGCGGCGTGGGGGTGGTGAGTCTGGGGGCGCTGAGCGTGAGGAGCCTGACAGTGCGGAGCCTGGAGGTGCTGAGCCTGCGCGTGAGGAGCCTGGAGATGCTGAGCCTGCACGTGAGGAGCTTGGGGGTGTTGCGTCTGGGGGTGCTGCGCCTGGGGGTGCTGCGTCTGGGGGTGCTTGTAGAATTCCACTACTATAGCAGCTTGATAGAGCTCAGAAGCACGATTCCAACGTACCAAAGATTGCACGAAACGGTCCACTATAGCCATAGTTACACACAAACATAGCAGTGATAATGACTTGGTTGATTTCTGGTTTGTGCTCTCTGGTTTTATACTAGGATGCAATACAAAATAAAAGCACACAAAAAAGTGTCAACCCGGGTCGCACGTTGAATTTCGTCGACGCGAAATTTGGAGCCTTGAATTTCGCCGAGTGAATTCCATTGACTGTAATTCCGTAGACGAGAATTTCTGCGACAAGAATTCCGTCGACCACTGACTGTAACTCCCATGCGAATTCCGTTGACTTCGACACTTTGCTGCCAAGTTTCAAACCGAACGCGACCCGAGATCGATTTCGCCAAACTGTCCCCAATCTGTCCCCAAACTATCCCCAATCTGTCCTGACAAGACACTTCCAGGACACTTGAATCAAAAGGTCTCCAGTTCGAAACTCGTGTGCACCATAACCAGCGCCTTAGCAGAAACTGTCCTGAATCTGTCCTGAGACACTTTCAGGACAGATTTGAAGGTCACGAGTTCGAATCCCAGCGCAGACATTTTGTTGCTCATGGCAGCATTTCCTTCTAACACGCCCCCTTGCTGTCAGGAGCACGCTGGACCAGCCCGGCTACTGCACAACATTGGTTGAAGGCTGCCTTCTCGAGCCGCTTCGTGAAGAAGTCCGCGGGCTGCGCTGATGTAGGGATGTGCTGCACCTCCAACTTCTTCATGCGCACCATGTCCTGTAGCCACATGTGGCGACAGTCCACATGCTTCATGCGCCCCTGCAGCCTGCCCGCCTGGCTGAGCTGCACCGCTGACATGTTGTCGACGTACAGGGTGGTGGGGACACCCTTCTTGAGCAGTTGAAACTCCCACAGCAGGAACCTTAGCTTGCGCCCCTCCTTTCCCGCTTCCACCGCAGCCACAAGCTCGCTCTCGATGGAGGAAAGTTTGGTTGCACCCTGTAGCTTCTTGGCCTGCCATGAAACGGCAGCTCCGCCAAGCTTGAAGAGGTAGCCTCCCGTGGACGACCGGTTCTCCTCGTCGCCTGCATCATCCGCATCTGCATACCCTACGAGAGTCAAACTCTCTGGTCCTCCCTTGTCCGGTGAGGCAGCCCAATAGGAGAGTGTGCGGAAGAGCTCATGCCAATGCGCATTGGTCCTGAGGTATGCACCTGCTGCAAGGCGACTGCATGCAAAAGAGAGGTTAGGACGGGTTGCGATGGCTGCAAACTGCACCATGCCGAGAATTGACAAGAACTCGGTCATGGTACGGTTGGTAAACTGCCTGGCATCCTGCTTGGCAAAGCTGGCAGAGGAGAGAGGAGTGATCGGCTGCTTCTTTGGTGGCGCTCCCTTGAAGAACCGCTGCTGCACCTTTGCCACGTACGCATTCTGGTGCAGGAAGAGTGTCCTGTTGGGGCGATCTTGCTCAATCTGCAGCCCCAGGTAGCGCTCCACTGGCTCCACCTCACGGAGCTGAAACGCCTTGGCCAGCAGCCCCTTCAGGTCCTGCAGAAGCTGCTGGTCTTCACTTGCCGCTAGCAGGTCATCCACGTAGATTAGCAGCCACACACGCTTCCCGCTTGCCCCATCCTTGTAGTATAGGGCCTGGTCCACAAGGCTCTTCTTGTACCCCTCCACAAGGAGCACCTTGTCCAGCTCCTTGTACCACAGAAGAGGACTCTGCTTTAGCTCGTAAAGGCTCTTCTGCAGGAGGCATACCTTGCTGCTACCGTCGGTGAAGTAAGGCGGCTGCTGCATGTAGATCTCATGGTCGATGGTGCCGTGAAGAAATGCATTCTTCACATCAAGCTGCAGCAAATCCAGGTCCATAGTTGCGGCGATTGAGAGGAGCACGCGAACGGTGGTGTAGCTGCCAACAGGAGTGTAAGTGTCATCGTAGTCGATGCCGAATCGCTGGCTAAAGCCCTTAGCCACTAGCCTGGCCTTGTACTTCTCCACAGTGCCATCAGGCCGCAACTTCTTCTTCAGCAGCCACTTGACGCCGACAGTTTTGCGACCTTCAGGTAGGTCAGCCAGCGTCCAAGTGCCTTGCTCATCAAGGCTCTCCATCTCCTCCTTCATAGCAGCCCACAATTCCTTGCCTTCAGGTCCGGTCAACGCAGCTGCTAGGTCGAGGATGACACCTCCCCAAGCGCCTTCCTCCTCCTCATCCGCGTCCGGGTACTCCACTTCGTCATCGCTGTCCGTGTCGCACTCGTCCTCAGCAAGGTATGCCACGTCGTACGGGTTGTCCTCATCATCCGCATCCAGGGCCATCATGGCTGATGGCTGAAACCGTACGGGTGGCACCCCCTTGTTAGGCCGGCTGGAGCGACGTGGGGGTGGTGGAATGGGCTGGAAGGGGGGAACTGCAGGTGAAGGCTCATGCTCATGGGCCATTGGTGACTGCTCATCCACTGCTACTTCTTCTTCCTCCTCGTAATCAGCCATGCTGGTGTCAACCTCCAGAGGACCATCCTCTGGTCCTACGGGCGCCGAATCAGCAATGGAGGGTGGACCAAGAGGAGGAGGTGCAGTAGGTGCCTTGCTGCCCAAAGGGCCCACCGAGCGTTCAAAGGGGTTTCTCGCCCCCTTGCACAGACGGTACTGGGACCACGATGACGGTACGTGGTGGCGGCGGATTCTGCTTGGGGTCGTGGGGCTCAGGGAAGAGAGATGGGACTGAAGCAAAGGGTGGTGTGGGCTGTTCATTCCGGTCACCCACGCGTGCACGCCATTTCTGCCACCGTTCAAGTGACATGTCCTCATAAAAACGTGCATCCCGGGTGATGACCATGCACTTTGACTCAACATCCACCACACGCCATCCCTTAATTTCCATGCTCATGCCCAAATGAATGCCCCAAAGAGTCTTGCTTGCAAGCTTCCCCTCATGCTCATGCTCAGGAATGAGGTACTGCACCATGCACCCGAACACACGGACCGTGGACACATCGGGTTTGACTTTGAACACCACCAAATGAGGAGTCACACCATGGGGCAGGGTGGATTGGTGCACACGGTTTACCACCCACAAGAACTGCTGGAAAGCGAAGTGCCACCAGTGTGCTTTCACCCCCATGTGCCCCAACATCACACGCATGCCCTCGGTTACCGTACGGTTGTGGCGTTCAGCAACACCGTTTTGCTGGGGGGTCGAAGGGCAGGAGAGTTGACGTAAAATTCCTCGTTGCTTCAGCAGCAACAGAAACTCATTCCACATAAACTCCCCTCCCCGGTCCGACCGCAACACCTTCAGCGTCATCCCGGTTTGGCGTCTAGCTTCGAGAAGCCATTCCTTGAAGGCAGCAAGCGTGTCACTCTTCAGCTTCAACGTATTCCCCTAGGTGTAACGTGAGGCGTGGTCGACAAAAAGAATGTAGTACCTGCTTCCATCCATGGCTAGGGTCTGAAATGGACCGCACACGTCAGTATGGACCAGCCCAAGTACCTGCTCCTCTCGTTCGTCGTGCAGTGGAAATGATTCACGAGTGAGTTTGGCTTCATGGCAGGAAGTGCACGGTATATCCTCACCTCCTTTCTCCAGGTCCATACCGAACACGCCACCGCTCGTGGCTGTCCGCTTCACCGCATCGAAGTACGTGTCCAAGGCGAGCGTGCCACAGGTTGGGCGTTGCCTTGGAGCCCACCGCGTACATCTTGAGGCTGGCCGCTCCATCTTTAGCTTCCGGCTTGCTTGATGCCACATCAGCAATCTCCTTCGCCGTGCCGTTGCTTGCCGTTGCATGCCGATGCAACCCCCGTGCCGTTGCTCGCCGCTCCACCCGCCATTGCAGATGCATGCCATTGCAGCCGCCGTGCCGTTGCATGCCGCTGCAGCCGTTGCACCGTTCCTTGCTGGTCCTGGTTTCAGGTCAAGGCAGTGAAGGCGATGGCGGTATCGTGCCATTGCAACCACTTGACCTCCTGATGCGATGATGCAAGTGGCACCTTCCTTGGTTTGCATCTTTGCTCCCTTGTCCAAGAGCTGCCCAGGGGAGACCAAGTTGGCCTTCATTCCTGGCACAAAGAGGGCATCATGTAGGGTCACACGCAAGCCGTTAGTGCCCTCCAGCAAAACCTCACCAACACCGGCAACTTCCTGTATAGAACCATCAAACTCTTTGACTGATTTCGTTGCAAATGGGTCATGTGTTGGGAGCATCCTGAGTCAAGGAACCACAAGTCCTTGTCGTCGGCCAGCAACTTTGCAGCCGAACACGCGACGGTGAGCGCCACGCCCTTCCCGTCTCCTTCGGCTACGTTCGCGGCTGCCGCGGGCATTGTATCTTTCTTCTTATTGGGGCACTTGGCAGCCATGTGCCCCTCCTCATTGCCGTTGTAGCAGCGCCCCTTGAAGAGGGCTCGCTTCTTCTCCCGCTTGCCATCCTTCTTCTTGTCCGTCTGCTCCCTTCTCCCTTTTCCTTCCTTCCCGTTGATCCCCGTTGTAGCCACGGTGGTGTTGACAGCGCCCGAGAAAGCAGATGCATCGCTTGTGATCTGCTTGTAACTCTGTTCGATGGAGAGAGTCTGCTCCTCCATCAACACCTTGCTGCACACGCGTTCCACCGTCATGTCAGGGCTGGAAATTTCGAGCTTGCGGCGAAGAAATCCGTACTCCGGTGGTAGGCCCTTCAGCACGTGGGCGGCAAACGTGGCCATGTGGACCTCCTGTCCAATGGTCAGCAGCTCCGCTCGGATGGTGCGGGCCCTATTGCAGTAGGATTCCGCCATCTCATCATCTCCCTTCATGAGTTGGGCTAACTGGGTCTGAAGTAGGGAAGCGTGGAGAGCATCATGAACTTGATAAGTAGACAAGATATATGCCTATGCTAGCTGCCCGACTTTCTCTTGCTAGGAGAAACCAGAGATGGACATTCGGATGGGTGGAGAAACACATCGGTTCAGCACCATGAATGCAATCATTTGGCCCTTTGCGTACTCCCTTCGTTGCAAGAAGTTGTTTGGGGCCGGGCTTGATGTTGTCCCGTTGCAAAACTGCCACAAATCAGCACACTGGAGCTGAGGTCGGATGGCGCTGACCCACGCGGTAAGGTCATGCCTTCCCTCCAGCAGCGGCGTCACGGAGATGTGTTCAACTCTAAACTTGAAGTGACCGTAGCTCGCCCCGATTATTCCTGTGTCAATGGTCGGTGCAAGAGCTCCTCCACCAACGCCCACAGCACTTGGAGCCTCGTGCACAGCTCCTCCTTCACAGGTTCCTCCTTGCTGGCCGCTCGCAGGTGCTTGCTCCGCCGCGCACTCCCAAACCATGCGTAGTCGACGACCGTCCACAATGAGGCCGACTTCCTCATAACGCAAGTAAGGGTGGTGCTCACGAATGGATGCCTCCAGCTCCTGACGGGCATTCAGACCCTCGGCGCTCGTTAACCACTCCATGCGCAGTCAAAACGAGCGTCGGCCACACCAACGAGGGAACGAATTGATGGGAGGACAGAATCAAGCCGCTAGTTGGATCGACGCAGATACCACAGCTCTGATACCATGTAGAATTCCACTACTATAGCAGCTTGATAGAGCTCAGAAGCACGATTCCAATGCACCAAAGATTGCAGGAAACGGTCCACTATAGCCAGAGTTACACACAAATATAGCAGTGATAATGACTTGGTTGATTTCTGGTTTGTGCTCTCTGGTTTTATACTAGGACGCAATACAAAATAAAAGCACACAAGTGTCGACCCGGGTCGCACGTTGAATTTCGTCAACGCGAAATTCGGAGCCTTGAATTTCGCCGAGCAAATTACATTGACTGGAATTCCGTAGACGAGAATTTCTGCGACAAGAATTCCGTCGACCACCGACTGTAACTCCCGTGCGAATACCGTTGACTTCGACACTTCGCTGCCGAGTTTCAAACCGAACGTGACCCGAGATCGATTTAGCCAAACTGTCCCCAATCTGTCCCCAAACTATCCCCAATCTGTCTTGACAAGACACTTTCGGGACACTTGAATCAAAAGGTCTCCAGTTCGAAACTCGTATGCACCATAATCAGTGCCTTAGCAGAAACTGTCCTGAATCTGTCCGAAGACACTTTCACGACAGATTTGAAGGTCACGAGTTCGAATCCCAGCGCAGACTTTCTGTTGCTCATGGCAGCATTTCCTTCTAACAGTGATGCGCCTACATGTGCGGAGCCTGGGGGTGCTGAGTCCGGGGGTGAGTCGCCTGAGGGTTCTGAGACTGCTGTGACGCGGTCTCTTTGGAGTAGCCGTCTTCGTCCGCGTGTGCCTCTCACCTCCTAGCAGCTGCACGACTGGTACGGTCGCCGTCAGCGTCGCGCTTCAGGGCTCTACTGCTGGGGGTTCTTCTATTGGCGTCACTGGAGCTGGGAGTGGTGCTGGTCCTTTCCTGCTGGAGGTGCTGGTGTCGCTGGTCTCGGAGGTGCTCGTACTGGGGCTGGCGGTGGTGTGTGTGAGGGTGCTGCTGCTAGTGGCACTGCGGTTGGAGACCCTGGGACTGGAGGTGCCAGCTCTGGGGGTGCTGCACCAGGTGGGGCTGGTGCTGAGGGTACTGGAGCTGCTGGAGGTGCTGGAGCTGCTGAGGGTGCTGGAGCTGCTGGAGGTGCTGGAGCTGCTGAGGGTACTTGAGCTGCTGGAGGTGCTGGAGCTGCTGAGGCTACTGGAGCTGCTGAAGGTACTGGAGCTGCTGAGGGTCCTAGAGCTGCTAGAGGTGCTGGAGCTGCTGAGGGTGCTGGAGCTGCTGGAGGTGCTGGAGATGCTGAGGGTGCTGGAGCTGCTGGTGCTGGTGGCACTGCACAACCGCGCCTGTTCTTTGCTCCGCCGTCTCCGTCGTCTCTGCCACCGCCTGACTCCGTGCTTCGCCACGTTCTTAGTCTCCCGTTGTCTACTGGTCTTCCGTTACAGCCTGGCTCACCTCTGCCTGCTCCTTCTCCTTACGCTGAGAAGACAGGGGGCCTTGCTGAGCGTCGTGAGCCTGCGTCGCATCCTGTCTCACCTGTCCGTTCTGGTCGTTCCGGTCGTCGTGTTCCTCATTAGCGTCAGCCGGCTGTCCCCGGCCCTTCCCTTGTAGTCCGTCGTCCTTCCTCTCCGCCGCCGCGTGTTCACCTGCCGTCTCCCCCTGCGTCCTCTCTACCTGTCGTTGCTGACACTGTGTCAGACCAGTTTCGTGCTGAGCACCCTACTGTCACGCGTCTGCTAGCCACTGTTGGCGCCGACCCGTCGTTTGAGTCTGCTGCTGCATCTGCCTTAGTCGCTGAGATTGTTGACTTTGCTGCTGCCTTTTGTCTGGACTATGCTGCTAGTCTTGTTGCTGAGTCTGAGTCTGTCTGTCCTCCATCCGTCGGGGGTGAGTGTGCTCTTGGCACGGGCGTCCTTTAGGACAGACAGGAGGACCTTGAGTGTCTTGCAGCCGCTGCGCCTCATCTCGTGGCCATGCTACTTGCCCCGAGGGAGACCCGGATGCACGAGACATCCCGAACCCGCACTCTTACGCTGAGGCGATTGCAGGTGAGCAGTCCTCTCAGTGGCAGATAGCCATGGACGCAGAGATGGCATCCTGGAAGTCCACAGGCACCTACGTCGACGAGGTTCCCCCTCCTGGGGCGAACATTGTCAGTGGCATGTGGATTTTCAGGGTGAAGCGACCGCCAGGTTCTCCGCCTGTCTTTAAGGCTCGTTACGTTGCTCGAGGTTTCAATCAGCGAGAGGGAGTAGAATTCTTCCAGACCTTCTCCCCGACCCCAAAGATGACCACTCTTTGGGTGCTGCTGCATGTTGCCGCTCAGCGTGACTACGAGCTTCACTCTCTTGACTTCAGCACAACTTTCTTACAGGGCAACCTGCACGAGAATCTGGCTGCGCTGTCCACCTGGCTTCACTGGGTCGTTCCCTCCTGGTACCCAATGGAGCCTCCGACGGCCAGTCTACAGTCTCCGCCAGGCGCCTCGTGAGTGGCACGACACACTGAGGATGACTCTTGCGGCTCTTGGGTTTGCCCCGTTGACTGCTGACCCGTCGCTGTTTCTGCGCATCGACACCTTGCTGCCGCCGTTCTACATCCTCGTGTACGTCGACGACTTGGTCTTTGCCACTGCTGACACTGCTGGACTAGCCCACGTGAATTCCAAGCTGCAGAAGAGACACACGTGCTTAGACCTGGGTGAGCTGCGCAGCTACCTTGGCCTGCAGATCACCCGGGACAGAGCATGCTGCACCATCACACTGACTCAGCCACACATGGTACAACAGGTCCTTCAGCGCTTCGGCTTCACCTGGTCCTCAGCACAGGCCACTCCTCTGGCTACAGGTCACTCGCTCTCAGCTCCACCTTCAGACGAGTCAGTAGAGCCGACTGGTCCTTACCTAGAGCTAGTGGGCTGCCTCATGTACCTGATGACCTGCACTCGTACTGACCTTGCGTACCCTCTTGGCCTTCTGGCTCGCTACGTGGCTCCTGTTCGGCACCGAAAGGTGCACATGGATGCTGCTAAGAGGGTACTACGCTACTTGTGCGTACATCGGGCATGGGGCTCGTGCTTGGAGGACGGGGTGACGTTGTCCTCACTGGTCACTCGGACGCCTCTTGGGTTGACAACCAGGCTACGCAGCGGTCGTCACAGGGTTACACCTTCAGCCTTGGCTCTGGCTCTGTTTCTTGGCGTTCTACATGCTCGTCTTCAGTTCTCGGCTCTAGTTGTGAGGTTGAGATCTACGCCACAGCCATGGCTGCACAGGAGTTACGCTGGCTCACCTACCTGCTGACCGACATGGGAGAGCGGCCTCGTTTTCCTCAAGTGCTGTACGTCGACAACAAGGCCGCCATTGCCTTGTGTGAGGAGCACAGATTGAAGCACAGACCGAAGTTCATCGCTCTGCGTTACTTCCTTACTCGAGAGTTACAGCAGCGTGGCCAGCTTCGTCTTGCTTACGTGGCCACTCGGGCCAACACTGCTGATATATTCACCAAGGCACTTCCGCCTGGTGATCATCAGCTTTTCTGTACTTTGTTAGGCCTTGTGCCCACACTTCCCCACTTGCTGTAGGCTTTACTTGTACTGTGATTTATATATATACCTTCCTGCTTGCTCTCATAGGTAGAGATCACTGTGCTTTTGTTGTTTCATATATATCTCTGCATGTGACTTGGCCTTGTGGCCTTTTTGCTTGTGCCCAGAGTGCGTGGTGACGTTGTGATCCACCCTGAGCTTGCTTTGCATTTCCTGACTGGTCTTGTGACCCTCTGTTCTCCCCCACTTTGCCTATGGGGGTGTGTCAGGCATATATCTATGTTTTAGATTTGGGTAGGCTATTGCGGGGTACACACTTTAGAGTACAACCCCTTAGGGTTTTCCTTCTTGTATCATTCTCATCTTAGTCGAATCATCCTTGCCTTAGTCTCGACAGGTGTTTTTGTAGATGATTAGCTTATCCGTAAAATTATGCTAATTAAACCGCAAAGCGTTTTGTACGCCGGAAATGAAAAGAGTTGTAGGGGTCCATAGTGTTGGAAACAAGTTATTTAAGTGCCTCTGTCGTGTCGAAGCACTAAGTAATAAACGAAGCGAAATACTGTGAAGCATCGGCGAGTCAACACTTGGAGGTTGAGAAGTGAAGAAACCGCTGGAGGTTACGCGAAAGTCAAAGGTCAGCGACCTTTGACCTTTCAAGTACAGCGGGACAGCAAGGACAAACAGCTGACTCGTTATTGAGCAGTTGCCCGAGTCGTCACTGTACCGAACCGCAACAGCA